ATAATAAAATTAAAGTGTGTTTTGTAATAGATGAAGCTTATTATATTCTAGATTATTGTAATTTTAGGTAAGTATTTATAAAAAAATAATTTACTTAATTTTAAATAACACTAATTATTTATTATTTTAATAGAGAATTGTGAAAAAATTTATGAATATTAAAAAAATTGATTTATGATTTCTATTATACTATTAATTGTAACATATACATACAAAGAAGTTTAAGATATTCATATATCTCTTGATATATCATCAGAAAATTTTATTATAATCTGAGATTCTTCCTTTAAATGTAAAAAATAATTTTAGAAGTTTATAAAAAAAAAAAATAATCGGAAAATCTTTTTCAATGAACTTTTAAGTTTAATTAAGATACATGAAAAAGGGAGAATAATTATTTACTATGCAACACAATTGGGATATGACTACCTTTTTATTCTATTGCAACTTCATTTATTAGATAAAAATATAGATGTGTATTATAGAGGAATTGAAGATGAGCAATGTAAAAAAATTATGTCATATTGGAAAGATAATAAAATCCAAATAATGATTAAAATAAATGCATTTAGTATGAACATTAATTCTTCTAATATTTACCTAGTAATACATTGTGTAGTTCCTTTAAACATAAGTAAGTAATAAAGAATAACTATGTTAAAATCATCATTATAGATTTTTCTATCATTTATATTTAGCAAATTTGATATAAAAAATTAGACAAGCAGGACATGATGGTAATAAAGCCAAGTGTATCATATTTTATTCAATAATTAAGAACAAACTTTAGAATTTTAGCTAAAAATTAGGAAATGTGAGTTATTTGATTGATTTAAATTTAACAAATTATATTTATTATATTGTATATTAAAAACAAGATGTAAAAAAAAATTTTATTTAAATCAAAAATTATAAAATTATAGAAAAGAAACTAAAAATTTATTAATTGTATATTTTAAAGTTATTTTAATATTTAAAATATAACTGATCAAAAATGCAAACGAAAACATTATCTTAATAATAGTATATACAAAATTTGTGAAGTTCTTTTATTTTGTCAAAATAAATATGAATACTAAAGTTAAATGATTAATCATTATTATTTTTGAAATAGAGATGATATTTCTTCTCATTATTTAAAATATGATAATTGTAAAATTCAGATAAAAGAATAGCTTATTTACAAAAATTATAAAGAAAATATTTTTCATTTATTAGATATTGTTGAGGAAATAAATAATAATGGTAATTGTAAAATTACTGAAGACATTATAATAAATATTTTTTGTAAATCAAATACAAAGAAAATTTGGAAATTAGACTTAACTAAACTAGAAATGTATAAAAGTGCCAAAAGCTAAAATTCAGAAAACCAAAAGAAGTAGTAGCTTATATTCTTGCAGATTTGATAATATGTGATTACATAGAACAAAAATTTTCTCTTTACTATTTCTCACTAAATGTACAAAATACTATTATTAAGCATATTTCTAATAGGACTTAAAAAAGATGTAAAAGAAAAAGTTATTGTAAATTTATGGTATTATTAGATATATAAAAAGTAAAAATGTAATCAATAAATTTAAATAATTATTAAAATAAAAAAGTTATAATAAAAAAAAATTATAGTCTAGCTTTATTTAATATATTACAATTACATAATATTAGTATATTATATTTTGAATAATTTATTCTAATAAAATAAAACTTTAAGTTAACAAAATATAATGTAATATTTAACTATTAATCTAATTAATAGAAAGTATCATATTTGTTAAAATTTTAATAAAGTTTTATTAAAGTTTTATTAAAATTTTATTAAATATTATTAAAGTTTTTTTATTTAACAGTTTAAAGATTTTTTTTACATTTTATTTAAATTAAATTTAATGATTTTAAAATTTTTATTTAACTAAAATTTGACAATTTATTTATAATTTTAGTATTTTTTATTTATTTTAAACTATTTAACTATAAAATAAAAGGTTCAAATATCAGTTAATTTTAAATGATTTTTAATACTACTGAAACGTTATTAAAATTTTGATCAAAGTTATCAATTGAGTCTTAGTTAAACTTTGATATTTATCAAAATTTAATTAAAATTTGATCAATTTGTTATATGATTAAAGTTTTTTTGACCAATAATATATATTATGTTCTTATTATAAATTTTAATAAATGTCACATATAATGATATAATATAATATAATTATTTAACAATTTTATACTATATCTTAATTGCATATAAAAAAATCTATTATTTCTCTTTAAATACTTTTTGAAAACTAAAAATACTTTTATATTTATAAATTAATTTTATCTATAATTGCAATCAGATGCATAATTTTTTTATAAGCACAAATATATATGAGTATTTTATAGTAAAAGAGAGAAAATTACCAAAAATATTTTTAAGTTAATATTAAATCTGAATTTATTTTACTAAAAAATAATATTTATCTTATAAAGTAAAAAATATTTTAATAGTTTTTTTTTTTTTTATTGTAAAGCATCTCTATATCTTTTTTTATAAGTTTAAATAAAAAAGTTTTTCTCAAATAATTATACTTTAGTATTAATTAAGTTTAAGTATATTAAAATTAATTATGTCAATTTGATATTTATTATAAATTATTAATAAAATTATTACATTTGTCAAAATATAATTTAATTAGTAATTTATTAATTCATATTGAAATATATGAATAATATCAGATATTGTTAAGAATTTTAATATAAAAAAATTTATCAATTTGAAAAAGAAAACTTAAAATTAAAGAAATCTTAATTTAAAATTTTATATAAAGAAAAATTTTCTGGTCTTATCTTTTTAATATAACTAAAAAGAAATTTTGAAGTTATAATTTAAAGTTAATCTTATAATAATATATGTAAAATTTATCAAAGATCTCAGTTAAAAATTATGAAATTATTTCTTATATAAAACTTTTGATAACTTAAATATTAAATATAGAAATAAGATTAATAAAGAAAAATGTTAAAATTAAAATTGTGATCAAATGCTAACAAAAAATAAAAAAATTTTTTTAAAGGAATTGAATTTTAACAAACTCTTTTTTTAGATTTTTTTTATATACAGTCGTTCCTCTCTATAGTCACTTCCTGTTCAATCACATTATATAAATCTCTTATTATAAGCACACATTTTATAAAAACTAATACCTATTAATGTTATATAAAAATTCTCTTTATAATCACAGTGTTTTTATAGTTACACCTTTTCAGAACTAATACTTAGTAATAATATATAAAAATCCCTATGCATAGTAACTTTTTATTATAATTACACTTTTATTTTTAGTCCTAAAGGATATGATTATAAAGGGAGATGACTGTATTTATATTTTTATTATTTATTATTTTTTATTATTTTATTTTATTTGACAAATAACAAGTAATATAAATTATATAATTTATAAGATATTATAAATAAATTTGATCGAATCCTTAATTAGACCAAGTCTAATTATAAATATAACTGATTAATTAATCAATTAGATATAATATAATTGTAATAAATATTCATTTGAATAATTGAACATAAATAAACTATATCTAATTCTTCATTTGTTTAAAATCATCTAATTCATTAATTAAAATAAGTCAAATTCTAAAATTAATTACTAATAAATAGTTACAGAATGGTAAAAAATTGATAACAAAAATGTGATTATCTATAAATAATCTAGTATTAGTTGTTTATATATTCAATTTCATAGTAAATCAGAAAAATAATACTAATACTAAATTAATAGAAGAGATATCAAAGATATTAGTTAAAAAAATAAATGATTTAATTTTCAAAGAATCTGTTAACTTATATGAATTAATTATAAATTAGCTCAAGTAGTATAAGCTTGATGGTAAACAGATAATACAGTATCAGATGTATTATCAAAGCTAATTATATCTGCTAGTTTTTTACTTTGTGAAGAAAATAAAAAAACTGATGAATTCATAAATATAATATATAGATAATAAGATCAGGCAAAAGAAATAAAAGAAGAATCTTTTAAGATGATTTATTATCAAAAGTAGTTTTTTAAAGAAAATTGAATTCATAACTTCTTTACATTCTATTATTTTCTTATATGAAAAAAATGAATAGGATTGTTTTCTATAGCAAATGAGTAGGTATATATAGATCAGGAAACTTTCTATAATCAGAAAGTAAAATAAAGTTGAGATATAAATTATCTGTTTATATAGATGGTAAGGGATTTGCTTTATAGAATGAAGAGATCCCTTTAGAATCAGATAAACATTTAATATACAGATTCCCAAATTCTTCTTAGTAAAATTATAATACAAATCATAGTTAATCTATATAATGTAATGATATAAGAAGATTATGCTAGTATTGTTACTATAAATGTATAAGAATCAAATTGGAGATGTTAAATCTACAAATAATATTGATAACCAATTGGCAAAGGAAATTTGTATACAGCGAAATCAAATCTCTTCTTCCTGACATTACTGACATGAATTTGTGTAAAATCACTTCTAAAACTATAAAAAAGTTTATATATTATTCAAGGGGATAGAAATAGATAAAATTCAAGCAATTACCTATAGCACATGTGATTTCGAGTTATCTGAAATTCAGATTCATGACATTATAAATGATTTTCCCAAAAAGCTACTGAACATCATTAACTTGTTCTAGAACTTTCCTGAAAAATTTTTATTAATAAGTAAATATAAAGATAAAAAGTATCGGGACTTTGCTATGATCGCGAACTTGAATTTATTACTTGAACAGATACAACTAAAACAATATTCGTTATTATGCCATTCACCACTTATTCATAATTGCTATGATTTTCATTGCAAGCAAAGCATGCATTTGCTTAATATAACTATAATTATCATATCCTCTAAAGCTATTTCGAAGTTGCAAGTATGTGAAATGCTCTAAGACGGATTGGATAATTAACTTTGGATTTTCATAAGTGATAACTTGAAATTAGAGGATGATTCCATTTGAGAATCGGTTCCAGTATGTGTATATCGGCGTTGAGATTTCACAGGTAATCGAGTTGCGGGTGGTTTGCTATCATTGGCTTTGACATGTTTTCTTGTTCCTCCGTTGCGTCAGTCTTATTGGCTCTCAAAGTCACGTGCCTGTTCCAAATTGGAATGGTGCTTTTTCATCTGTATTCCCTTGATGACGCAGTGAAATACAGAGAAAAATCACATGACTGTAATTTCAGCCATTTTTAGTAATTTATTTTTCGCGTCAAGATATATAAGTATTTTTTTTATTTTTTTTTTTTTTCGCTACCTCACTACCTCACTCTCACTCACTCTCACTCACTCTCACTCACTCTCACTCACTCTCACTCACTCTCTCACTCACTCTCACTCACTCTCACTCACTCTCACTCACTCTCACTCTCTCACTCTCTCACTCTCTCACTCTCTCACACACACACTCTCTCAATGTTGTCTAATGATGAGGGACGAAACCCCTTAATAACAGTCGAAACTTAGACGAAACTAAATTAAAATCATAATAAGGGATACGACGAAACCCTTTCGATACGACGAAAGCCGAAACTGTCGAAACTATATTAAAAACATAGAAAAGGATATGACGAAATTATTTTGAGGAGGTTTCGGCAGGCATCTATAATGTTGTCAAAAGAAATTTTAAATAAACTTCGACATTCCAACTACTGGGAAAGGCCATACACGCAGTGGGAAATAAATACTTGCGAACTCTTCTATTCCGAAGCATATCCTGAAGAGGAAGTTATACAATGATTTTGGTGGTGAGCTTGACATTTTGGTAAGAAACCTGGAACCAGGAACAAGAGAAAATAAGAAGGTCTTGGCATTAAAGCGTAAACTAGAGGTTAGTGATTTTACACGTTCTCAAAAATATGGAAGCGTTGACGAGAATAGTGAGCCGACCCATCGAGCTTGGGGAAGAAGAGCGTCCAGCCGTCGTGCCTTAACTCACTTCCTCTACGACGTACACATCTTACTATTAGATTCTTTGATTAAAATCTGCTGATTCTGGAGAATCGGCTATGTACCTTCCTTATGAATCTTTACTCACAATCTTCCTTTATATGTTACAGAAGTCCAAGAGTACAATAAGAAGAATGTGCACCTCCTGTTGGTAAATGTCTTATTTGTCGTCTTTGTCATATTTACCAACAGGGAACGGTTTCGGAAACCATTGTTAAGTCCGGAGACAAGTGTAACGAAAGGGACCAACCACACACGTATCGACTCAAATTTGAGAGGGCGGATAAACAGACACCGGGCATAGACATATAATCCTTCGCTTACGCTCCGGACTAATAATACCGAATACTTAATCTTGCACTCTTCTTATTGTCAAACCTGCCAAAAAAACACAGTAATTCAAACTAAAAGTGAGTCGTAATAAAATTAGCCAACTCAAATGAACGCGATATGGCTTTACTTTTTGATAGTCATTGTTTCTGCGTGAATATATTATTAATACCGATTTTCACTAATTTACTACTAGATCGTCTTACCGAACTAGAACTATTTCGAATAGTTCTTCTTATTCCTAGATTGCTTAGTATTACAACTAATAACAGAACTACTTCGGCTTCATCAAGGATACCTGAAAATCCAGTGAAATCATGGGAGGTAGAAAATTCAACAGTCCCGAAATCATTCGACCGACTGCATCCATTGAAAGTGTCAACAATTAAACTATTTTTGCGAGCAATGGAACAAATAAACAACCAAAGATTAAATCCCTTTGACGCTTCAAAATTGGAAGGCTGGGTTGAGATAAACGTGTGGGATCGCTTGATTGACCCAGCCTTTGATAGGTTAAGCATTGATTTAGTGCGTGGGGAGGGAATGAGCATGGCATCAAGTGACAGGAAAAATCTTGAAAGAACATTAAACAATCGAAAGAAAATTGGCCGAAGTCTTCAGACTACGTAAGGGTTGTTTAGAATTTGATGCCACAGAGGCGGGTCGAAAATAGGAAGGACAACATGGTACCAAGAAGACCCCGAAATATATACAGTCAAACCTCTCTAAATGCACCCCCCTTGGGACCGGATGAAAGGGTGTATTTAGAGAGGAGAGGGTGTGCATTAAGAGAAAATATGTAATTTAACAGGTTTTTATGATGCGATAACAATAAATTTGTTTATTTTTATTATATTGAACATTAGCTAACCAGATTTGAAATCAGTACAAATTTTTAAACCACAAATAAAAACTCAGATAATCGGAAAAAATTGATAAATAAAAAAAAAAAAATTCCTCTCTATTGATAACATATTGCAATTATTCATTAATATTAAAAAATTGCTCCAAAATAGTTTGTTTCATTAAACTGCTTTTTTTTCTCTAATAAATCTTTCAAGAATATTTACAGATTTTAAATATTCAATGGTATCTTCTTGCTGAAGTAAAAATACACAAACAGTCTCTAAACTTTTTGATGTTACACTTGTATTAATGAGTTCTACTTTAATACTATCATCATCTTCATCTAGGTTTTCGTCAGGTTTCTTTTTAAACATATCTACAAGTTTCGCAATGATATTATCATCTTTAGGAACTTCATAAGTAATATCCTCTTCAGAGAGAGCTAAAAGCTCTTCTGCTTATATACCATCAGGAAAATTAAGAGTTTCAAGTACATTAGAAAGTTCTTCAAGCAGCAAGTCATTTTCTTTAACATTTTCTTTAACATTTTTTTCAACAGGAAGGATTTTGGTATGACGCTAGCAGTTACAAATCATTTCAGCCTTAACTTTATTCCAAGTTTGAATAGAATATCGAATGCCTTGTAAGATATTCATTTTCAAGTTTTGTGCAAATTCACTGGCTTCAATCTGATCCAACATCCATTGAATTTGATGGCAACGATAATTTCTTTTAAATGACATGATGATTCTAGCATCCATTGGTTAAATCTTTAATATTATATTTGGAGATAAAAAATAAACATCAACATGTAAAAGAACTAACCCATTTATCTTATAACTTGGACAGTTATCAAGAAGTAGCAAAATACGCTGACCATTATGCTTTCTGAACATCTGTAAATCGAATCCTTGAAGCCATTCTTGAAAGAAAGTTAGTAGCATTCAAGCTTTGGCATTATTTCGATAGGTCATTGGAAGGTTGAAAATATTAATATTCTTGAAACACCGTGACTTTGCATATTTTCCAATAATTAAAGGTTTTAGCTTATGTGATTCATCAGCATTTGCATATAATATAATAGAAATACGCTCTTTATTTTTTTTACATCTAGAAAGACGTTTTGTATCTAAGGTTCGATCTGGTTCTAATTGGTAAAAAAGTCCAGTCTCATTCATATTATATATCCTTTCAAGAGAATAGTTAGCACATTTATCACGCAGTAATGATAAAGCTTTAAGAATGACAGTATTATCAGCAGATTCAGCTTCTCCATGAAGTTTTTCTTGATGAATTCCATTACGATCTTTAAATTTGTGAAGCCAACCAGAAGAAAATTGCAATATTCCTTTTGGAATTCCTAATCCGCTAGCAAGCAACTTAGCCTTTTCAATTAATATTACATCACTCAATATAATTTATTATTAGTAATATAGCACAAATTCTTTAAGTGCTAGCTCAAGTTTTGGAATAGTGATAGATCAGTGTCGTTTTGATTATGAATTGATAATTTCAGTAATAAGTCATTTATCACTACTTTGTAAAGTTCTTGTAATGGTTGATTTAGTTAAAATTTTTCTTCCAAGTTCATGATAATCAGATAATTTTATATGAGATTTAAAAAGTTAAATAATTCTTTAGCTTTAAGATTTTTAACTCATAATAATGCCTATTCATATAAAACAATAAGGCTAAGTAACAATATATAAAACTTTCCTAAATCCTCTTTAGATAAAAATTGAATAATGAAATTATCTATAAGATTATAAGATAATTGAATAATTATTTTGTAAGAAGATATTACAGAAGATTAAGATACTTATTATGAAATATGTATAACTAAACAAAAAATTATTATTAATAAACATAATTTAAAAATATAAACATGAACTAATACTACACACCTAATCTTTTATTTAGAATAGTTAGAGTTGATGAATTGTTATTTTCTAGCAATTTAAATATTTCTTCTCATTCTCCTACAATTACTTTAGTAACAAAATGTAAATATTTCTTTAAATGAAGAATTATTCTATTTTTCTTATTTGGAAAACATTTCTTTTTCCTTTTTTTTTTCCCAATTCTTTAATACATAATTTACAATATGTCTTGAAATTACTTTTATTAAGTTTAATTTCAGATCTAACAATATATTGAGTTAATATAAAATAAAGTGATATCCTGAAAATATACCTAAAAACCTAAGACATTTAAATGATACATTATTTTAAAGAAAAACAAAAAAAAATTAATGAACTTACTAGATTTTGTATGATTGTAAATTTGAAATCTCTTTTTTTAGGTTCAGCGTAGTGGGTAGAAAAATATTTCTTTTTTAAAAAAAAATTCAACAGACAAAATTTCTTTCTTTAAAAAAATTTCTTTAGGATTTAGTATAACGGTCTGAAAAACATTCATTTTTTTCTTTAAGATTCAGCATGATAAATAAAAATATTTGTTTTTTATTTTTTATTTTTTAGATTTTGATGCAACAGATAAAAAAAATCATTTTTTTTAGATTTTAACATGACAAATGAAAAAATTCATTTTTATTTATATTTTTTTAGATTTCAGTGAGGCGAACAAAAAATTCAGTTTTTATGTTTTTTAAATTTTAATATAGTAAATAAGAATATTTTTTTTATATTTCTTTAAGTTTTAATATAGAACTTCAAAAAGAATTTTTTTAAATATATTTAGGTTTTATCATAGTGAAGTTAAGAATATCCTTTTTTATATATTTCTTGAGTTTTAATATGAAAGACTTTAAAAATTTAAAATAATAATTTTTTTTTATTAATTATTAGAAGTAAAGATAAAAAAACTTTAACATATAAAAATAATTTTAAAAAATGTTCAGGATATATAAAATATTTCAGATCATTTCTGAATTTAGAAGAACGTATTTATATGATAATTAACATAACAAACAATATATCAGATATGAACAATAAACATAGAATGCAAACAATATTATCTTATACAAAATTTACAGATATCATCTATGTTAAAGATGATCACCACAATTAAAAAAAATGACACAATTGAGTTACAACTTGTGATACAATTAAATTTCCTTATGACATAATTAAGTTGTAACTCAATTGAAATTTGAAAATAATTATGAGGATTATCTTTAATCTGTATATCACACTATCAGTAGCTGCCTTAGTAAATGAGCTATTTGATCTATATTTATTATAATAGGTTAATTTTAGAGTCTTTTTTTCATATATATTTCACACCTTATTTTTTAAATTGAATTATTCATTTTATTTATCATAAGAATAAATAAGATTGCCTATTTAAACTATACATGAAGTCAAAATTAAAATCTAAAAATTAAAATATTTTGATTTAGAGGCTATAGTTAAAATTAAAAATCAAAATTAATTATAATGATCAAAATTAATTATGATTGTTAAAATTAATTATGATAGTTGAAATTCATTATGATAGTTAAAAATTAAAAAATACTTTTAAAAAATTAATAAAATATTTATAATATTATATTAAAATTAAAAAAAAATATTATTATTATTATTACTATTAATTATTATTATTATTATTAAAATTTGTATTAATTAATATATTAATATCAAAATTATTATAACTATGATCAAAATTTACTAGTTCTTTAATAACTACTCTTATATTTACTTCAAATACTCTTTGAAATTCTTAATTATTAAAATTAAAATAATTTTCATAATTATTTCATTATTTATTTCTGATATTTTTTTTTTATTTTTATCAAAATCATTTTCATTATTATCATCATTAATATTATCATTATTTAATTCTTTTATTGTTCTTCAATTTTCTTATCAAAAAATTCTGTAATATTTAAATTTTGATTAATTGCTTGAAAAAGTTATTCTTCGGTAAATCTAATTTATTTTTATTTTTGCATTTGTGATATAATAAGTATATAACTTTACTATTATTTTATTCATTTAATATTTAAACTATAGTTTAAATATAAAATTAATTAATATAAAATTAATTAATTAAAAATAAAAATAAAAAAATTACTTTGTTTGACATTTTGAATATATCTATTTTAAAACTAAAAAGATTCTTTTACAATCAGCATTATGTGATATTATGAAAAAAAAATTTTAATGCTAATTTTTGAATAAATTATTCTTTTATTCTATAATATGTCACATTATACAATTCTAATACTTATGAAAATTCATAAAGTTTTATTTAACTTTTATAAGTTATAAGTTAATTTACCAAATAATTCCACCACCTATAGAAATCTAAAATTTGATAGCTAAATAATAAACTTTTTTAAAAATTTCTTATTTAAACCTATTTTTAAATAATAATATTATATATATATATATATTAAAAATTATTAAAAATTATTAAACATAACTCAATATAATGAATGTAAAAGATGATCTAACAAATAAATATCAAAATCAAATTGTTTTTAACATTTATTAAATTTTTTCAAGAAAAATAATCAAAATAAAAGGTTTGTTATAATTAAATAAAATTTGAAAGTTATTTAAGTTTCATTTATTAAAAAAAAATCTGTTAAAGTAGTACTTCTATATTCTAAAGTAATAATTACTTTTTTAATAAGTTTGAGAATTTTAATTAACTCATCAACATCTTGAAAGAATATTCAATTTTGTAATAAAGTTTTAATTTTATTATTAAGAATTTCAGAATGTTGATTAAGAACCTATATTATAGAAACAAATATTTTATTAATTAATATAATATATTTTTTACATATAATAAAAAATAATATAATTTTTATTTTT